ATACGTATTTCTACTACAGTTCTTAATCCTTTATCCTTAGTTGTTAGGCCACCAAATTCAAACTTTCTAAGCCAGAATTGTCCCACCTATAACAGCATTAAATATTAAAACTTCCAGACACCTCTTTTCTGACCTTGGGTCCCAGTAGTAGTGGCTCTCAGCAAATGCTACTCCAGCACCTGAGGAAATGGGCTACAGAGGGTTACCTCTGGCTCTAGCCGATTTTGAGCCTCTTATTCATTAGTATTGGGAGGATATCAGGAATTGCTTTTAAGTAGTAATTTACTATATGGTTCTCAAATTTCCAAAGCTAAGGATTTCTATAACCTTAGAATAAGAGTGTTAAATTTAGTGTGTTGCATTTTTTCCATTATAAAATTTAGAGATTTTAATTGAAGACAGTAGATTTTTTCAATCAATTTGTTAGACCACACTAGTGCCTTGTGACTAATATTTGGTGCCTAATTAATCTCGGGGGAGAAAAAATATTTTCTGTGAAGTTCTAACAGTAGACGCTTTCCTAAGAACTATATGTTTACTTCCGTATACTGTGGGTTTCTCTTCCTGGTCAATCAACTCTCTTTTTGCTCTTGAAGAAGTACTAAGCCAGGTCACTAGCTTTTCCCTCTCTCCCTTCTTATTCCTTTCTTTCTTCCTATAATAAATGTTATTTACTAAATGCGTACTATGTGCTAAGTACTAGGGATGTAAATAAATGAGCACATTAATTTGATTTATGGAATATGAAAATGTGGGAAATAAACTGGGTCTTTGGTGAAAGACACATGAAACAAATATTGATCAAGGGCAATTCGTGGTCATTTTGCTTTTAAAGGCCTTCCATTTCCATTGTTTTCATGGATTTACCACAAGAATTGTATCTCATGAAAATTGAGAAGTATTTAAATGTTACAAAGAATAAGAGAGTTAAGAAACATTAAGATATGATTTACTTAATCTGAAAATAATAGATATTTTACATATATATATATATATATATATATATTTTTTTTTTTTTTTTGAGACAGTCTCGCTCTGTTGCCCAGGATGCAGTTCAGTGGCGAGATCTTGGCTCACTGCAACCTCCGTCTCCCGGGTTTAAATGATTCTCCTGCCTCAGCCACCTGAGTAGCTGGGACTTACAGGCACACAACCCTACGCCTGGCAAATTTTTTGTATTTTCAGTAGAGACTGGGTTTCACCATGCCGCCCAGGCTGGTCTCAAACTCCTGAGCTCAGGCAATCCTCCCACTTTGGCCTCTCAAAGTGCTAGACTTACAGGCGTGAGCCTCCACACCCAGCCTATTTCGATACATTTTTAACCTATTTTACATAAATGAGATCTAACTCTTCCCAATATTTCGAACTTTTAAATTTTTATATAATTCTAAACTAGAAATCATTCTATGGTCTTTCAAGTTTCTTTTTTTATTGTTTACATAGTATATTCAATTGTCTCTTTGAGGCAAAATCTTAGGCTTTTAAGCAGAACTTTAAAAACTGTCTTATTCATTCAACAAATATTACTTATTGAGCCCTTCTCAGAAACTAGGTAAAGTTAGGAAAACACATAGTTCCTGTCCCCAGGGCGTTAAGAAATCTTCAACATTTAATCTTCTCACATTTTTCAAACTTTTACTATATCACAGCAGAAAGAATCAAGGCCAACTGAGCAAGGTTTGAATCCAGGCTTCATTATGGGGTAAATGTGAGCAAGCTACTTATCTCTACTGCACACTGATCTCCCCTCTATAAAATGAAGATAATATCTATATTGAAGAGTCCTTATAATTAAAGTATCTAGTAGAGTGCTAGACCTAAATAGAATCTATTACATTATTTTTCAGTTTTAATTTAAACAACCACTGCAAAACTCAGATAATTTATACTAACAAACATTCTATTTTTTAAACAAATGTTATCTGAACTACATTATTTGCAGACAGGCACTTAAGACGTGTAAAAATTCAATCTGATTTACACTTAATATAATCTTTTAAATATCCAATGTATTTCCAATTAATAAAGAAAATAATCAAAATCCATTTTAAGGTAACATTAAATAAGTCATTATATGATTGACTTATTATAATAAAACAGTATATATATCCTTATTTAATATAATGACAAAGGATATTAGTCTCCCAAATAAGTATGTTGTTTATTTGCAAGCAAACATGGACCAGAAGTTCCACAGATTCTGTATATATCAATCAAGAAACTACTTTTTAAGACTAGGGTTCCTAGACTTTAACATAAGAGGAGGTTCTAAAGCGTAGTCCTAAGAACTGAAGTTCCCTTTTTTGTAGTGACAAAAAATGGCATCCATGAACGCTTTAGGGCAATAGCTATTGATTTGTTAAAGATACCTAAGAAAGGGCCAAATCATCTTTTGAACCAAGTATAACCCTCTCATTGAACTTTCCTGTATTAAAATATGTTAATAACCTAAAATAATTAATGTGCCTCCCAATGTGCCAAATTTGAATTCAAATTTTGGGGTCAGAGGGACCCTAAGCTCCCTGCCTCCCACTTTACCTTCCAACAATTTAACAAAGAGGGAACTGAAGCCTAGACAGTGAGAGGGAGGGATTTTCATAAGACATATGGCTACCCAATGGCAGAGACTGGAGTGGATAGAATTTAAGGTATCTGACTTTCAATCCAGTGTTCTGCTCACAAGAGCAAGCTTCCAATTCTATTATAATAAAGAAATGGTTTATGTACATCTGGCTATGAAAAAAAGACAGAAAAAAACTCTGAAAATATGTATTTGGTTATTACTGACTGGGCACTTAATACACTTTTAACCAATGTGAAGAAAATTATGAGGATATCATTCTAAAAACTAAATAAGCATTGCCAGCTTTTCTAAATTTAAGAGACATTAAAAACTTCTGTCACTGCTCTAAATCACCTTCTTTTAAAATGTTCTAAAATAAGCAAGCAAGCAAACCAAAAAACTTAAGAGTTGGAAAAACTCATCATCTATCCACCACCAAATGCAAGAATCCTTTCTAGAATTCTGGCAATTGACCAACCAGCTCTGTTCGAATGTTTTCAGGGCTAAGGAGCATTTTCAAAGGGATGTAGGTCATCCTCATTATCACACAGCTTAGTTACAAGGCTACTCCATAATGAGAAAACCCAAACCAGCTTCTCTGTAGATTTCTATACTTTAGCACCAGTTCCGCCCTCTGGAACAATACTTGAATTAGTCTAGTGTCTTTTTGTGTATTTTGTGTTCAGTCTTTCAAATATTTGAAGCTAGCTGCCAGTCTAGCATTTCCCTTTTCTCGATAAATATATCTAGAATATTTAAAGTACTTAGAAAGAGATCATACAAATCATTTCAGCTCTATTCTGCTCAACAAAAGTTTATCAATTCCCAGGTATTACGCTAGGTGCTGGGAGTACAAAGAGAAATGAGGCATATTTTTGAGCTAAAGGAACTTAACAATACAGGGGGGTACAGGAGCATATATAGAGAGAACTTAAATCTAGTAACAGCAAGTGCTACAAGTATAGCCATCTCCAATAACAGTTATAAACAAGATTAGAGGACAAGAAAGGAATCAAGGTGAAAGGGACAAAGAATACAACAGTGGGCATTGTGCCAGGGTCACAAATTTGTATCTAAATTGCTGAACTGAACAGTCTACATAAACTGTTAAACAATGGTTCAATGTAACCTAAACAAAATGTGATAGTTCTTAGAACCTATATAGACAGGATAAAGAGGGATTCAAAATATAAAAATATATACCATATTCAGAAACATTATCTGTGCACAGTTAAGCAATACTTATTTGCTAAATAAATTATTCTAAAAGAGATCTTAAAATTAATGACTATAACAAATTCATAAATGAAGAGACTGGTTTTCTTGACTTCTGCTGTGAAGTGTGAAGTAGCGTGTGTTAGGAGAAAATTATCTGGTATGGCATGCAAGAAAGCATTCTTTTTATTCATAACATTTTTTCATGAAAATTCAAAAAATTAAAACAGGATTCCAAAACAATGGCAGCACAATTCACTGATGGAATGTTAATTTTTTCCTTTACAAAAAAAACTATTAAAGATGGAATTTGGTTGAACAATACTTAAAGTGATATACCTCAGACCTCTTGAGTATGAGAGCTGAAGTTTATTAAAACTGTCATCTTTGAATTAAACTGTTACATGTAAAAAATAAGATTAAAATGTCCTCTGACTATATAATCCTGTATAAGAGTGCATGTCAACTTTTTCTGTGTATTTTCCTTTAAGAGCATTTATTTAGCACTCCAGTCAATGATAAAAGAAAACTAAGATATTGTTCAGCATTAAGTAACTTCTTTACAACATATACACACATGATACCCATATTTTGGATTTAAATGTTTAATACATTTAATACTCAGTAACTGTCTATAATTAACAGTTCTATTTCTACATAGTTCTCAATATTGAGATCATTTCTAGAATCGGTTATTAATAGGAACAAGATACAGGATAAATGTGAGAATGTTTATTTATCTCAGATTTATTTATGTTTTAAACCACTTGGTCATTTTAAATTGTTGGTTACAAGAGGACATTGTTGTCCATACTTGACTGTCCATAGCCCATGGAACACTAATTCCTCTAAAGTAGTATCTGCCAATAGGGTGATTAGAACAAAAGTAGAGGGAAAATATTTTAAAATCATCAGGAGAGCTTTTCCAGATTGTATCCTACCTTCACAATCACAGAAAGCCAATGTTTTAGAGGTGTGTTGCAGACCTAATAACACGACTGCAATCAGGATTTAGCTGGAACTGAATTTAGAAGCTACTGTCGCAAATGCTGCTAAAAAGGATCAAAAAAAAAAAAAAAAGTTAAGAAGCCAACATGCAGGCTTCTGAAGATACCTATATCTACAGAAGTTCCCAGCTAGATCTGTAGTAAGACAGCAATTCAAAGGAAGGACATTATTGCCATCACATTTATGCATAAACAATGCACTTTCAATTGCTTACCTCCAATATTCTGAATTATTATGGTGCCTGCCACCACCACCTGTAAAAAAACAAAAATATTCAGTAGAAAGGGAAATAATAGAAAAGAATCAGTATTTTATTATAATCCAGTAACTATTACTAAAAAAGCAGATACAGAAGTTGTAAGTGAAGAGAAACTAAAAAGAAATTTGCCAGTCATTTGAAACACATAAAATTAATAATCATCACATTAAAAAGTATTTCTTTTAACAGTTCCACAGTTACTATAAAGAAGTTTTTGAAATTTTTCTTGGCAGTCATTTTTAAATAGTTATAAGTGTTAAAAGCTGGTAATCGATGATTATCAAAGTATAAAAATTAAAAGTGTGGGAGTGGTGTCTCATTCCCTTTCTTGCTGGTTTTACCACACTGCTTAAATAAGTAGAAAAAGACAGGCTGGGGTGTGCTATGCCAATGATATATTGCCTAAAAGGAAATGATATAAGTTTTCTGATTTTATCAGCTTGGCATATACCAAGACTTTGAGCATCCCAGTCCCAGAGATTAATAAAGTCTAGAGCCCAATTATTCTCAAACCCTGAAAATATAGGTAAAATGCTCCAAACTCAGTAATGTGAATTAAGCCGAGTATGAGACAATGGGAGTTGGCAAGAACTGTAGGATATTGGAGAACTCCTCCCCCTTCAGTGGGGCAGGTGCTACTCAGCTCTGGCCACTTGATAACATGTGAGAATGTGGATCCAATGTAGCCAGATCTTCTCATTTTTCAAAGAAAGTCAGAAAATAAATTTTTTCATACTTTAATGATGTTTAGTTGGTAATCAGTTAAAAATAAAAAATATTTGAGCCATACAAAATGTTCCTGAGGACTAAATTCAGTCTGCAGGCTTGTTAGCTTATCATCTTTGATGAGATTCCTGGGGAACTCAAGGTAATCAGATATAGTTAGAGGAAAGAGTAAAACACTGTGCTTCCATTTGGGCCTTTCAATCACTCAAATCTTGATGGATCGGAACCCCAACGTATGCTCGCAGCTGATTAGCTGTCTAGCATCATTCAGTTCTACATGAATTGGGAACAGATCATCTTTCATACCCATCTTTGTTAGGAATTCTATCAGTGGCACAGCATTTGCCTGTCCTGAAAACCATCTAAGTTATTAGGACCTAGGAGACTTGAGGTTTGCAGAAGAGGTCTAATGATATGAAAATTTCACAAAGTGTCTTTGGAGATGTGGTGATTGCCACTTGAATGCTCTCCAGAAAAGACTCTGCATTTCAGTCTATGTAAAAATTAGTTCCAAAATGTCAAAGTTATTTGTGAAAAGACTATTTTGAACTTGTGTATGCTATCTTCAGTACAAATGAAACCTACTGTCAGTAGTAGGTATACATGAAATTTGGTTTTATTTTCAATTAATATATTGCAAAAAACAGTAATATTAACTTATTGATTATTCTTTCATTCTTTGGTTGAATTTAAGCATTTCATATCTTGAAAGCTAGAATATCTATCTATCTACCTACCTACTTGCCTACCTAATTATGTTTTTAATGCCTAGCACAGTACATGGTACAAAGCATTTGATCAATAAATATTTGGTGAATAAATACCAATTTATAGACATTTAAATAAATCTTCCTCAAAAAGTTCAAAACATTTCAAAAAATTTCTTTGATTATCATAGTATTATCCCATATTATAACCATATAATATCTGGATAGAAGGAAATGGTTAAGTTTCAACCCAACTATGGAAGTGGGGAGAAAATCTAAACAAGCAACCGAACAACAACTCCTCATTCAGAGTATGCTTTGTCTAGTGTGCCTGCCTACTATGAACTTTTTTTGGTGCATGTATTAAAACAACAATGCAACTACTCTAGAGTTTTAGGAAAAGAAGACTCTCAGCAGTCCCTACTCTTTAAACTTTGCTGCTATACAAACAATGCAGGAAATATGAACATGAAATGACAATGATATCAGTGATGCTACTTAGAATTATATTTATAAGTTATGTTATATTAATTGTGGAATTTTCTCATACAAAAATATTTTCTTCTTTGTTTAAACTTGATGGAGGAAATTGATCCCTGGCTACACCAAACATCCTAATCCTCTAGAACAGAAAAATTGCTGCTAAGTAAGATTAACAAAACCTTTTACCCTCAAGTAACATACTCTGTTTCGTCTAAGTTTCAGGTTACTAAGGTCCAAGCCACGATGCTATATAGTATATGATTTAAGCATTCCTTTTCGTACTTTAAAAACAAAGTTAGGGCCGGGCATAGTGGCTCACACCTATAATCCCAGCACTTTGGGAGGCCTAGGCGCATGGATCGCCTGAGGTCAGGAGGTCGAGATCAGGCTGACTAACTTGGAGAAACCCGTCTCTACTAAAAATACAAAATTAGCCAGGTGTGGTGACACATGCCTTTAATCCCAGCTACTCAGGAGGCTGAGGCAGAAGAACAGCTTGAACCCGGAAGGTGGAGCTAGTGGTGAGCTGAGATCATGCCATTTCACTCCAGCCTGGGCAACAAGAGCGAAACTCTGTCTCAAAAGCCAAAAACAAAAAACTCCACCAAAGTTAACTGGAATGTAAATACAAGTTTTCTCTCCATTGCATAGCTATATATTTCTCCTCCAGACTCACTTTCAGAAGTTAGTTTAGCCACTTACAGATAGAGTATCCTTTTAGAATAAAAATAAAAATAAATATATAAATAAAATAAAAACAAAAAAATGTTAAGTATGTGAAGTAATGCAAATATTAATTAGGTCAATTTAGCCATTCTACAATGTTTATATATTTCAAAATGACATGTTGTCCATAATAAATACACACAATTTTTATTTGTCAGTCGAAAACATAAAAACACAAACAACAGATTTACAAACAAAAGAATTCCTGTTTGGAGCCAAACTGAATATGAATTTTAGAAGTATAGTAGCTCTTCAGAAATTAAAAAACTATATACTATAGCACTAAGTAATGTTCAACTCCTGGTGGAAGACAATTATTTTTCTCTACCTATTAAACTACTGTAGTATGCCTATTGCAAGTGAATGCCCAATAAATACTGCTGTTATTTCTCTTATTCTGAGTAAGAAAAGTAGTAGATCTAGAGTTCTAGGATGTGGTACTGGCTTTATATAATAGTTGACAAATAGGCCCCTTAATTTCTCTGGTCCTTAATTTCCTCACCTATAAATGAGAGGACAGCTAGATAATCTTTTAGCACTGTTCAATTCTTAAGTGATAGGATCTTCTGATTACTGGTTTTGTAAAGAGCCATGCTATAATTTGAATTTGATGTTGCTTTTCTTCTCTTGTCTTTATGAGGGTTTACTCATATGAGTACATAATCGAAATTAATAAAACTTAAAACAGGTTATTGCTACTCTTTTAAAGTCATTCAAGTCATTGTGCTACTTTATCAGGATGAAATACATTAAAAGATTCAAGCATTGAATTAAATGGATTGATGCATTTTTAGGAAGGACACATAGACTTCTCTTTCTCTGCCTGCTCCCATCATTCTCTCTTTTCTCACTTTAGTTTCCTTTTATTCCTCTAATGTCTTCCTTTTATATATACTTGTCTCTTTTAACTTGAAACCAAAGGAAAAATGCCACTTTGGGTTTTGGACACAATGAGGAAAAAAAAAATTACCTTTCCAGGTAATCCAAATGCAAAGAGTCCGAGATCTTCATAAGATGTTACAGCTGTTAAGAGAAATTACAACGTTCACTTTTACACAAAATTATTTGTGTCAGGTCCTAAAGAGAAGAAAATTAA